ATTAATGTATTAATTAAATATTACAAAAATTTGGGTGCAATAGTATAAAAATGTATTTAGTTAGGTAATTAATTAGTAATGCAATAGTTAAATAATAATTTTAATTAGTGTTTTAAGTAAATAAAAATTATAATTAAAGAAAGCCTAGGATAGAAAACATATTTAAGAAAGTAATAAAGTAGTAATTAAATAAAATAATAATAATTATAATTAGTATTTTAATTAAATATTAACCTTAGGATAGAAAATTATTTACTAAAAAAAGTTAATTAGTAATGAAATAATAACTTTTAACTAAATAATAAATATAATTTATAAAAGTCTTTTTTTTTTGTTAAACTGAATTATGAAACTTTGATTAGAATAGAAATGATTAAATATTAATTATAATTTTGGCCCTATGATAGAAAATACTGAAGTAGTAATTAAATAATAAAATAATAATTCTAATTAGTATATAATTACTATTTTAATTAAATATTAACCCTAGGATAGAAAAATATTTACTAAAATAATTAATTAGTAATGCAATAATTACTTAGAGATTATAATTAATGTTTTAACTAAATAATAAAAATGATTTATGAAACTTTTTTTTTGGTAAACTAAATTATGAAACTTTGAATTAGTATAGAAATAATTAAATATTAATTATAATCTAGGGTACCCTATAATATAAATTTATTTAGTAAAATAAATAAATAATAATGTAATAATTGAATGGTAATTATATTTAGTGTTTTACGTAAAGAATAATATTAATTAAAGAAAGGCTATGATAGAAAGATGTTAAAAAAAATAATTAGTTTTTTCATTTATGTTTTAATTATTATTTTAATATTATTTAATTATTCATTTATTTGTAAATTTGTTTTAGTTGCATGGCTGATCAGCACTCCCGTATTGACCCTGGTAACGTATAGTGGGATGGATGCCAAAAAGTACTCTCAGGCTTCCTTGTTTTCATTTTCAACAACCGCAAAAATAATTGGCAACACCTCATTAGTTCCATCTTGGGCTGTGGCGATCAATAATGTTCCTTTATATTTACCATCAGATACGTACTTGATAAGTCTCCAATTTATTATGTATTAAATGTTAATATGAGCATGAAATTGATTTAACAATAATTAAAAGTTATGAGAATTATAATTAAAGTGTTATTTTATTATCATAAATATTCTAATACAAATTCTTATATTTTGAAGTAATTCTCAGCTCTATAAAAAGATATATTGGAGAGCTCAAGTAGATTTGTTTTTCTGAATCATATAATTGATTGAAGAACTTATTGAAGATTCTCTTGAATATTTTTAAGGAAATTATTTTCTTCAAATATAAAAAGAGAAGATTTTAAATATTTGATTAAAGATATGGTTGGAGATTATAGTAAAGATTTCATTGAAGATATTATGAGAAATTAAAAGATATGGTTCAAGATTTAATGCAAGATCACACGAGAAAATAAAAAGATATGGTTTCTTCTATAAAAAGAGGGCTGACACATTCAAGAGAGGGAGCTTTTGAGTAGCGTTTGAAGAAGCAAGAGGAAGAATCCTGTTGCGGAGCATTGGAGCACTCGCGTCAAGACAACATCACATCAATGGAGTCTTGGGAATTATTATTTTTTAATTGTTTTTGAATTCAATATGCTAGGCTAAGTTTTTATGCAGTTAGGGGTAGATGGAACCCAATTGAATCTTGTGTTGTGAATTAAATTGTCTCTAAATTCTTCTCTTTTTATATTTGAATGAATTTATCTGTTTTTAATGTTTTCTATGAGTTTGCTCCTTATAGATTGATTTAGGGGAATTGTATGACAATAGGGATGTTGGAGCATGAACCCTGATGTGATAAATTCATCATAATCCTTGTGATCTAGAGATAGACATAGGATAATTATGCAATCTTTGAATTCTTGATTTTAATGCATGTTTTCTTGGGGAATAATCGGGGAACTAGGGTTCTTCTAAGATCACATAGATTTAGGATAACAAGAAATTTAGCCCTAATTAATTTAGAAATAATTGATTGGCATTATATTAAGAGCAGACTCTTAACAATTTAATTCATAGCATAAAGAGGAAATTGGGGGAAGTCGAAACCTGAACTACGCTCTTTCTTGATTTTCAAAACTTTTATCTTTTTACTTTCTTGCTTTTAATTCTGAAATTGTATGTTATTGATTGTTTTTAATTTCAATTTTGCGATTTCTCCGAATTATTTTAAACTGCGTTTAAACTGCGCATAACAGCTTAAAACTGCTATTTCTCCGAATGACCGGAAAACTCCAGATTCATCTGATCAAGGGAAATTAAAGGACAATGGTTAATGTTAAAAATTAGAGTTTTTAAATAGTTTAAGAAATTATGGACGTTTAATGCAATAGGCGAGAGATTTGAATTAGTTTGATATCGCGTGAGGTGGCGGTGGGGCCCACCTCACTTAAGTGGACTTAGCCACTTGTCTCATTTACTATTCATCATCACTTCCATTACATTTTCTCTCTCTAAAAACCGTGACCTATGAAGCACCGACATTTCAAAAATCCTGACGTGTCGTGTCTGACACTTCCCGACACTCTCGGACACTCCCCGACACTCCAACACGCGTTATAGAAATTCATAAAAAGGTTCAAAGGTTACGTTGCGTTGAATTTTTAGTTCCAACTATTAGATTCGTTAGATACTTAATTTTATGGGAAAAATATTTCTACTTTTGTTGTAGAAAAAATTTCTGTCACATTCACATAAAAATGAGTGAGTCACAAATATTTTATCTCTTTTCTTTTTATAATGAGATCCACTTATTTTTTTTACGAATGTGGCAGAAAAAAAAATTATGGAGTGAAAGTAGAAACATTAAACCCTAGTTTTTTATTTTTATTTTGTATAAAAAATGAAACTGTATTTTTAAATTTTCCTTTTTTGGTCTTAAATTTAAATTATCTTTTCTTTTTTAATTTTCAATTCAAATTCTATTTTTTAATTCGAATTAAATTTTAAAAAAACACGTATCATACACCAAAATGCTCACTAGTATTAATATGTAACATTTTCCAAAAAATAAAATAATAAGTATTAATATGTAACAATACATAAACATAACATTCTGGTTAAATTACAACTACCAATATGCAATATAATATAATAAAGAAGAAATAATATATAAAAGAAGGGTTCGCTTTTTGTCATGTCACCTCACAAGACCATTTTCCTGCACACACAAATTAAGTGTGAGTCTCACGCTTAAAAAAAAAAGTCAAACCAAAATCAAGATACGACACCGTATCCTCAAGATACGTTGTCGGATTCTTGTTGCAGGAATGAAACAACAGGATTCTTATATTTCCCATAAAAGAAATAGAGAATCTTGAAGTTCGACTCCCTCCTTGAGAATATGTGGAAGCAAAAAAATTTACCAGCCTGCCACGCCAACAGTAAATTTTGCCAAAATGCCGCGCTGCACCCTTAGCCGTCGTTGAAGAAGTCTGAAAATATAACTAATTCGCATTATCTTATCTTAACTCTTAATTATTTTCAGATTTCTTCAACGACGACTAAGGGTGTAGCGTGACGTTTTTGCAAAATTTACTGTTGATGTGGCAGTCTGGTAAATTTTTTTGCCAAGTGTGACAACTCTTCCAGAATATGTAAGCTTAGGATGTGGAGTACACAACGAGAAGCACTTATTTGAGTACATAATACTAAATAAGTAAATTATTGAGGGCAAACAAATTATGTTATCTTTGAATTGGGTATCAAGTTTCTTCGTGGCAGCAACATATTTTAGCTCAGAAAGGAAAGGGCAAGAACCACTCGTGAATATTCCATTACTATCCATAAGGAAGGGTTGTAGGGGAACATTGTATATACTAAACTGAACAAAGGTGAAAGGTGTCTCCAACAGAAGGCTCCTTGTGGAGTTTCATGGCTGATATATGAATGAAGCTTCCTTATTTTTTTATTTTTTCTTTTCTTTTCTTATGGATGACTGATGAAGAATTTTCTGATCATGGAATAAAGACAGAGCCAATGGGGTCCCCTTGTTTGCTGTTCAGAGTTTTGGCCAGATCATATTTTAGTTGTTGAATTTATTCTATTATTAATTCTTACACGCGGTGTGTTCTAGCTGTACTTGAATTCAACACATCAACTACTATATTTCAACTTATTAAAACGACGGCATTAATTATATTTTCCTCAAAACCCCATTAATTATTTTATGAGTTTAATTTATATTTCTTAAACTAATAATATCAATAGAATGCATAGTAGTAGGGTTTGTTGGATTAATTTAAAAACGGAAGTGAGGCTTTCATATGGAGATTTCACATGAATTGATTATGTGGTAGATTTCAATCATTTACGTATAAATCAATATTAACTCATCAAAGTGAGAGTTTTCACTTTCTCATTTTACGAACTTCTTTATTTAAATTCTGATACTTGATCTATAAAGAAAGAATAACATTAAAGAATAAATTCAACCCAAAGCTTAATGGTTTATATTAATCCGATTAAACCGGATACGATCAAAAAATAACAAAACTTTATCTACCAAATTTTTAACATAAGTGCATGCCTAGGGAAATTTTCATCTTCAGCTAGAAGAAGTGGTTATGAATTTTTCATATCCACTCCCGAAAGCAATACCCCCACTTTCTTCATGTGCCTTTTGTAGCATTTAATTATCATTCAAAAAAACAAAAATAAAAAACAAAAAAAGAATAAGGAAGAAGAAGAAAAAAAAAACACTATATAATCCTCTCCTCTTCACCCTCCATTTTCTCACATCGGGTTATGCCAAACACGAGATTTGCATAACCCTTCACCTTCTGTTCTCTTTCTTTGTTTTTCAAATCCATAAAGCACTCCTTTCATCCAAAGGGGCTTGAACACTATAAATTCATCTCCTGCTTCATTATTTGCTATATTTGTATTTCTTCATATAGTTAACACATATAACAATAATTATTATTATTATAGAGAGTTTGAGAAATGGAGGTACATTCTCCTGTTTTAACCAAGAGACTGTGGAATGTGTTAAGGATCACCTTCTTCATGATTAGGAAGGGTTTGATATCAAAGAGGAAGATGATTATGGACATGAATTTGATGATGAAGAAAGGGAAGCTACTAAGAAAATCTCTGAGCAATCTCATGTCATTTCATCATCATCATCACCACCACCATTCAAAGAGTGTGTCACGTGGTGGCTTTGGGGTACATGATTATGAATTCTCTTGCAGCAATAGCCCAAATCCTGTTTTTTTCCACATGCCAAAGCGCAAGCATCATTTCAACTTCCCCTGCATCCATGCCCCTGAGGTTTCTGAAGAGGAACCTCAATTTTCAGCACTTGAAGTTGATAGTGATGTGCCTAATGTTGTTGTGGTCACGGTTCCCAAGACCCCAGAATACACCTTCAACTTCAGGTTTGATGCATCTGAATTTGCTCCTGGAGATAAAAAGAGTCCACTTCTCTCACCATTTTCAGTGAGGATATCAAATTACTCAGCTTTGGATGAAAATGAAGAGATTGGAAATGTTCAAGTTGATGATCAGGCTGAGGATTTCATCAAAAGGTTTTATGAACAGCTGAGGAAGCAAAGCCACATGCAATTACTACAGTACCAAGGGATGTAAAGACAAAGCAATTTTCCATTTTGATGTATGTGTATATTGGGTTGTGATTATTATGATCCAAAGTTGCTTTTTTATCATTGAATATTTTTCCACCTTGTAATTCTATTGCTTTACATAATATAAAATTACATCTATATATGTTTTCCAAGTAATATGTGGTATATTCATGCTATGTTTTGTAATAAAGGATATGCAGAACATTGGTTAGTTAGTACCTTTCCCCTTTCTGCTATGGTGTTACATCATTGTGGACATGTTGGTGTTGGAATTTTCTTCTGCTTTTTTGGCTTTTCATATAACCATGTTTTAGGCTTTTGTGGTGGCCCCACCCACCAGCTCCTACATTTTCAACTTAATTACCATTGGCACTTTTTCATGTAGACAACCGTCGTCTTCATTTTTCATGTAAAATATGCTAAAGGATGTGAAAGCTAGCTTGCAATTTCAGAGTAGTTGTTGTTATATTGCTGGTTGATTGCACGTTTGAATGTTTCAATTTAGTAATTAGTAAAGAAAAGAAGTAAATGGGACATGTTTGGTACGGAATTAAAAAATATTTTCGGTGATACAGGAATAACAAGTATTCAATACATTCTTTATTAAATATGATAAAAAAAAATAATTCATTTATACTATTTTTATGTTAATGATTATTTCCCCTCTCTTTTTTTTTTTCTGTGCTCAAGGATGCCTAGGGTTGTGGTCACGGTTCCAGAGACCCCTGAATACACGTTCAATAAAAATATATGAATAGGTTATATAAGTTGATGATTCCATACTGGCATGTTATTATTGTCTAAGCTATTGTATTTTATAGAAAACGCGTCTATTATTTTATAGAGGAGAAATATTTTTACTACCAAAATTTTTCACTACTAACTTACTATCTATCTAATCACCATGATCAGCATTTTCTCTCTCTTCATAAACTTTTTAACATTCTCTCTCCTTGATCCAAGGATGATTAGATTAATACACCCTTTCTTCAGTTTTGTCCGTTTTCCTTCTAGAATTTTGTTGTGAAGATGAATGCTATACTTTTGTTGAGTATATTGTTGCTATTATACTTTATCGTACGAATAATACCGGTCTCAATAGTACTGTTTATTTTTAGACCATGTCCCATATTTGTTTTTGTTTTTTTTTTTATATTGAACAACTGTTGAATTTGATCTAATAATAGAAAATAGGGAAAAATGTGTGTCTTTTTAAAGGACATACACTTATATCCTTTTAAGAAAGATAAAAGAACAAATCATGAAAGAGAGAGAGTGGAGAGAAAAATTTGTAATTTAAAATTTTAAAAAACATATTACATTCATCTAAAAGGACTATCATTTTAAATGACAAACACTAAACTCTAAAAAATATGTTGCGAAACATTTTAATAGAGCTAACTTTAAAGAGTGTGTATATTTGATATTTTACATACGTGTATATTTTTTTATAATTGAAGGGTAATTATTTTTTAACAATTCTTAAACATACTAATATTTTACAAAATGCCAACAACATTAATTTACTGATGAATAATCATGTAATATGTGGATAGATACAAAATCACATATTCAAATTCTAATTATGTTTATTACTTAAAATTAAGTTACAACAAATATACTTGTTAATCTTAGTGTTAATATGAATATTGTCTTCCTCCCTTCTTCCATCGTTCTCTAACCAAAATTCGTTGAACATCATATTCTATTAATTATTAAAATGAAATCAAAATGATCAATTCACACGAGTGTGTAATTATTGAGCAAAATCTTATCAAAGAACTAGATCCAAGCAAAACTCGACTATGCGTACACAAACATATGCGTTATAAAATCCAAGATTTTCAAGTATCATGTGGACTAGGAAGGCGCTCATTTTGTTTTTTCTTCTTTAGTCTTAGTTCTTCTCATTAAAGTTTTCTCATGTAATAGGAGATAAAATTATGTCTTGTAATCTTAAAATGACATTATTTTAGGATAAAAAAAAAACTAAAGTATGTTAGTACAAATGTACAATAAATGATACAAAAAGAAAATAAAATTACTAAACTTGCCTGTATTTTTTTTCCCAAACCAATATTCTTTTGGAATTGCTGAAAATAATGTTATCTTCTGTTGTAGAAAACAAATTCTTTCCTATGTACCAAAAAAAAAATCTTCCCTTTACTAAATTACAGGTGTAATGTAAATAAGTTTTGAAAGCAAAAAAAAAAAAACATTGTAATATACTTTTGAGACTTTTTTTAAAAAAAAAATACTCTCTTTTTGTATAGAAAAATTTACTCTTTTTAACTTTCGGATTAAAGTATTTTTGAAAGTTTTTATTTTTATTCATTTTTAAAAAAAAATTAAATATAATTTATTAAAAATTTACTCTCTTTTTTTACAAAAAATTACTCTTTTCATCTTTCGAAAAAAAGTATTTTTTGAAAGTTTTTGTTTTTACTCATTTTTTTTTTTTAAAATTTAAATATATTTTTTATTAAAAATTTACTCTCTCTTTTGTAAACAAACAAACAAGCGTTCCCTAAGTTTCACATGTCCATATTTTACATATAATATTATTCGAAATCTCTAAAAATACATTGTGGCTAGGCAACAATTGAGGAGGGATTTGCTACACACCCATGTTGTGAAGATACTGCATAATGTTACCCTAAAAAACAAAATAAAAAAAAATAAAAAAGCAATGAAGAAATTCCGAGTATTACCAAAAATTGTTTACAAGAAAAATTCCTAAATATAATATGGGCTACGTGTTATTTTAAAGCAGAGTCATCCAACGTGTTGGGCCATTGTCATCTACGGCCCGTCCAACAATTCATTCTTCGCTACCACCTATGTTCACAATACGGGCCTGACGGCCAGGGATGGGCCTCAGGCCCAAAGGGCGGGTAAGACTGCGAAACCGGAGGAGGCGGAGGAGGGTACGGATACGGCGGCGGCGGCGGCAGCGGCGGGTAATAATAATTATACTCTCCTGATGACGGAGACGAAACAGGTGGCGGCGGAGCCACCGCAGGTGGAGGATAGAGGAATCCCTCCTGGAAAGAACCCACCGGCAACGCAACCGTCGGGTAACAACACGACGGGTTTTCGAATTCCACCGTCGGATATTGTACGTGCGACTGATTCGGAGCGCAATCCTCCGGAGCCAGAAGTGGATACCCGGAGACGAGAATCTGAGACGAGTGGGTCCCAATCCCCTTCAACCTGTACGAGAAATTGAAGATCCCGTTGGGCTTGCCGTCGCCGGAACGAACCTCGTAACTCACGAACCGCGCCACGCCGTCGCCGGAACGAACCTCGTAACTCACGAACCGCGCCACGCCGTCGACGAAGCCGGCGTCACGGATCAGATCGGCGAGGGGCACGCGGCATTCACCGATGAGTTTGTCGCCGAGTATGACGGCGTCGTGTCGGAACTCGAAACGGAAGAAGAGGTCGTCGGAATCTCGGGGTTGCGACAGCCATCCCAAATCGAAACGCGCTTCGTGGTTCCATTCGGGGTTGCTGCCGTCGCCGTCGTTGTCGCTGTCCCTGTCCGTTTGGGTTCTCTGTTGCTGCTTCTGTTCCTCACTCAGTTCCCTTTTGGGGTCGTTGCTTGCTATGGAGACCAGCGCGTAAACAGTGAGTTTTTGGAAGAAATTGAAGGCTTTGAGATCTTTGCAGGAAATGAGTTTCAGCTCTATACACCTAGGTTCCATTTCAGGATCCTGTTTTTGTGGCCTCTCTAAATTTAATTTAGACAAATGTTAACGTTAAAAATAAAGAGTTGTTACCTAAAAATATTAGTTTATCACGTTAATGTTTGATTGGAAGGTGTTGTCTTGTGAAAATCGATATACATGAGAAACCCCAAGGTAACTACCATTCTATATTCAATTCAGCAACTAACTGTCTCTTCTTCGTTAAGGATATTTTAATGGAAAATGAAAGGTTCCTTCTCTACACACGTGGAAAGTCAGACATGGGTCATTTTCATTCGCATTATCTAAGGATATTTTACAGTTGTCTATTGGGATTTCATACGAACATGATTATGTATGTTACATGTGAGTAAATTCACAACCATGAATAGTAGTAGAAATGGTATTCGTTTTACCATGTACATCAATATACAACTAACAAGTTTCTTTCTCTTTTGTTTTTGGTCCTTTCTTTTTCTTGGAGAATATTACATGAATGCTCGGCAGAGAAAATAATTGAATTATAATTGGTTTTGAATCTCAGAGCCTCCAATCATTATTACATGAAATGGTAAGACAAGAAAGGAACGTCCTATAGCTACTACCTCTATCAAGGGCTGGTGGGGAGACTTGTACTAGTTTCGAGCAATTTTACAGCATCTTCTTCTTCTACAGGGATATTGTGCCAACCAGAATTTCTCATTGACATAACCCTTGCTCGCTCAAGCCCACTACCTCTAAATCCAGTCATTCTTGATGACATCATCGGCATCACAAAAACTGAAGATGCATGAATGGTGTCCTCCCCAAAACCTAGAGACAATGCACAAGTAGCCTGGAAGGGAATAGAAGCTCAGATTTGTTACTAATCAAATCGTGAAGGCAATTAGACAAGGATTCTAATGCAATTACTAATTAATACCTTTGCCTTAACTAGCATATCCGAAATCTTCTTCGTAGTTCCTTTTATAAATGATCTCGTGTCTGTGTTTCGTGCTTCTTCAGAAGATTCTACCAGCCTGTAACAGATAAACAATATCAGCATTCGTAAACAAATCACTATAATAACCGTTTAGTGTAACAATCATTACGGAATAAGGGAATGAAAAATACAGAAGTGATACACAATCGTGTTTGCAAAATCCAAACGACCTTCTGTTTGGAAGTTCAATGCAGAAAAATAAAAAAGACCATACTAGAAGCTGCCTTAAATGGGGCAACTTTCAATAGAGATAAGGTTGAAACAGTTCTACAGCATAAATGTAAGATGATAGAATCCACTAGAACTTCATTCATAGCTTACTTCACAAAGATCTCTATCATAAAAATGGAAAAATACATGGCTAACGGTTCGAATTTCAGGGTCATAACCAACACTCCTCCCAGATCCATCCAAACAAAGAGTTCATAAGAGCCGGAATTGCACCTTTTTGCTTCTGTTGAAATGCCAGAAGAGACAATAGAATCCACAGAACTATCTTTAGCCTCAGCACCTAAAAAATTTCAGAATAAGTTGCTTATCATTGTCTGCGTCCCTTGAATTATAGTAAAACCATCAAATATATTAATTATGAAATTATAATACCTTTTGACTCATCAGGTGCCAGCAAAGAAATGCCAATGAACACACATGTCATTCCAAGTATAAACATTGTTGTCCTTAACGCATCAAATACCTGCTTTTCAGTAAGATCAGTTTTACATGACACCTAAATTCATAATCCAAACACAATTAGCAATCCATCAAAACGGTGATACTAGTCCACAAAATTTACTTTTAGTCTCTAGAAGATGCTATATGATTGTCTACTTATCATAGACAAAATATCAAAAGTAATTGAAGGACTTTTGCACATGAAGAATCAAATGAAGAAGCTGTTGAGTCATAAGTGGCATTATACTGTTTTCAAATTGATCCCTAAAGCAATTATGTAAACCTGTAGTCATTACCATCTTTGCTGTTTGAGCTGTTAGTGCAACTAAAGGAAGTAAGCAAAACCTACTAGGTGCATATCTTCCCATTTGATGGAACTTCTTCGCAGAAAAATAGTCAAGTTTTTCTTCTCACAAATTTTACCCCTTTTCAATTTATAAAAGAAACCAACAAAACTAATATCAAATAGAAAAAAGCACTCGATATAGAGCTGCATCATGTCAAAGAAAATTACAAATATAAAACTCGAACTTGGTTTTTTGAGACAGAAAGGAGAGGTAAAACAAGGAAACATTTAAAATCAAAAAACACCCTGCAGCTGATGCTATATGACTTGATTTCTTTTCCAAAAATTTTCATTTTTATGTTTTACGGAAACAGCCTCTTTGTAAAAAATGCAAAGATAAAGTTGCGTATAAGGATTTCCTCACCCGGACCCCCTGCAAGTCGGGGTTTCATGGGGAGTTGTTATTTTGTTGTTGTGCTTTAAGTTAATTCAATTATGTTTTTGAAGACAAAAATTCAATTAGTACAGTCAAAGTCCATCGATCCATACTGTACAAATCACCCAAGCACATAAGGAAAAAAGGGATAGTACCTGATATTCTTGAAAATATATAATTCCTGTACAGATGGAGAAGAAAGTCCATGCTATCTGAAACATGGGAACAATAAGAATTGCATCAAACAAGGATAGTCCTTCATTCAACCTGGTCATCTGCACAGAGGAATAGACTGGGTTACTGTTTATATTGGTCACAAATTACTCCAAAAATTTCTGATTGTAACATCTGCACACATTTATTAAGCCTTACCCAAAATCCAGCTGTACTAAGAAATAAAAGAAGCATGGAATATGTGAACCAGCTGTGCAACTGATAACCATTGGACATGACCAGTCGTAGGAGGTTAGAACTGCCATCAAAATAAAGTGTTGATGTTAGACAAGATGAATGCTGCTGAATCTCATAAAGCACGATGACTTGTTGAAGTAGCTGACTTACAGAGATTTTGCAAATAGAACTGAACATGAACCTACAGCACCTGAAACTATAGCATAAGAAAAGGGCAGAAGCAGGTGCCAATAAGGTCTTAGTTCATGTCCCGATAAGGCAAGCAGAAGTTCTCCTCTCCTACATATTCCATATGATAATCATAAAGAAGCCAATTGTTTGATTAACCTAACAACAAACAATGAAATTTCATTTATCACCTGTAAATGGCGTGATGCAAGGCAATAACTAAGATCAAAACTGTAAGGTACAGAAGGAATGCACCATTCGTATATTTTTCTGCCAGCTGCTCTGGTGTATAAACTGAAAAGCAAGCAATTAACCGTATATCAGCTTACAGCATTGAAAGATCTTGATTTAATGAATAACTGTTTTGTCATACGATTGGAGGGTTTAGCAAAAATTGAATCTTATTAATCTACAAGCATAGAAAATTCCAATGAAGATTACAATGGAAAGCAAATGCCCCTTCCTATGCCTCACATGTTTAAAGTTAAGTATATTTAAAGTCAGCAATTTGCTGAATAGTGCATGATGATAAAATCGATTATAATTATATAATTGCATATGTTACTTGATACTGTATAAAATAAAGCACTATCTATTAGCAACATAACTAGCATTATCTTTCCAAATAAACTATCATGCAGTGATAATAGCACTGGAGAAATAATTCATACCAGGCGACTGGTGATTGCCAAAAGCAACTAGAAAAACATTGCCAAGAACAATGAAAGTCGTGGCAACCAATACCCTGTTAGAAAGTCAAAGATTAAGTCACTAGAGTTCACAACACCAGAATGATGTTGAGGACAAAAAAGTGAAACAGTACTCTCAGTTAAGATTTAGCATACTTGATTGTTACCAATTTGTTCAAGACAAAGTATGCAAATGCAATGTTAGATACAAACTGAACAGATCCCAGGGCAGCAAGAAGTGACTGCGCATCAGACAGAATAAGCAATCAGAAGGAAAGGAAATGCATCAATCTAAATATCTTCCAACCAACCAAAAAATTATAAACAACTGCATGTCATCATAAAATTATTTCATATGTTTAGCTGAGTAGCCCAAATAATATCATGGAAAAATGTACCTGAGCAGCATACCCAAAGGAAATGAAATTAAGGCAATTTCCAAGAAAGAAAAAAATCATACCTGCATATCAGGAATTATGCATGCAAAACAGAAACCAGAAATTAGCCACTTTAGGTATAATGTAAAAAACATACATATAAAAGTGTAGCTAGACTATACCAACTCTCCAAGTCTGGAAGTGTATAATAGGCTTTAGAGGCAGCTTTACATTTGCCCCATCACTTCCAAGTACAGAATCTCTTTCTCTCTGCAAAAAAATAGAGCCCAACCACTTCATGCTTCCAATGTGATTTGGTATTGCAAAAAATAGTACTAACAGGTTTCTGTGATCATGGCCGCATATTTTGCAAAATGGAGGATAATATTGATATTCAAAGAAGTCAAATGTAGTGAAACTAAACAAGTCTGAAACAAATATAAGCAGTTAGAATTGAAATATAAAATTAGTTTGAAACTCCAATTTTAATACTTTTATTTCAATGTCATAAATTTTTAAGGGTGATGATTTCCTAATCTAACAGATCCGGTTGACTGTATTTGATCTACAGCATTATAATCTAAGGACATGACATAGCAGAAATACAAAAGAGGCAAGAAGACTATATATTAACCAAATATATCCAGAGCTATTATGGCAGCTGAAATATGAAATCAGGATACATTGGCAAAGTGAATTCTACACTTCATTACCAAAAACGAAAGGAATACACGAAAAAATTACGTCATAAACGATTCCAACCTGAAGAAAAGATGCACCATACCTCATTATGCCCTAATTTAAGAAGATTGGTCCCAACGTTTATAGCAATGCTACCAAAGAGGTTGATGAAAGCTCCAACAATCCACTCCCCCATGAATAAACAGAAATTTGACGAAATTCTATTTACAAGGCAAATCAAACGGTGGAAGGGAAATATCTTTTTTTGTATGCACCAAGTAGACCAGTTTTAGAATCTAACTCCAAGGTTTCATAAATCAGAATAACAGCACTCTTGCGTCACCTACATACAACACGAATCAAAGGATCAAACCAAAAATTCACCACTTAAATTATGTTGATAATGTTTAAGTATATATAATTCTTAAATGAGAACCTTATTTGTGCACATAATCTCAGATATGAGTTAAAAAAAAACTAATCAAGTGGGAGAGAAATAATGCAATGCTGCTTTCATTTGATATTTCCAGATGCATAACATAACAACTTCTAAAACAAAAACACAATTATGTACCCAAAAAATCGAAAGTGCTTCCTTTAAGAATCCAGATCTGGTAAATTCACAAGCAATTTGCACCCAGAAGGTCAATTCAACTCAATGTGGGTGACTATAGAAACAAAATCATTGAGGAAAATAAAGGGAGGAACGTAAAAGCTTGGAAAGCTAGTTGATTACCTCCCAAATGAAGAAACAAACAAACAATTCGGTGCTGAGATGGATGGTTGGTGGCTTCAACAGGATCAAAAGGATTCAGAGGGAAGGGAATTGAATAAGGAATTATAAAATTCAAAATTTGATAATAAAAAATGAAAAAAAAAATGAGAGTTTTCAATTGCTGGTGGAAAATGAAGGGAATTAGTATTGAAGACGCAAAGCAATGTCCCAAGATGCAAGGAAAGGAGAGAGAGAGAGAGAGAGAGGAAGTTGTGGGTTGGGAGGGTCAAGGTCAATGGTACAAGGCAAAAGCAAAAGAGGATGAAACAGAGAGTTGAGCCTCCGTTATCACCGTCGTGTTCTCTTCCACTGTCGGTAAAGAATCTAGTACGGATCCATATATCAACATCATATGATTAACCATGTTTTGTTCATGTAGCTTTGTCCTAATTCATCTGACTTGTGTCATCAAGTAGCTTTTGAAATAATTTGCTGATTGACCCAATGCCTCTCCTTTGGATTTAAATTTTTTTTATTGTTGTAAAAAAAAATACATTAATTTTTAAGGATTAATAAATCGTGCAAAAAAGTTTAATTTTTTTCAATAAGATATAATTAAAGTTTAATTTTTTCAAAATATAAAATTTATTATTCTTACGGTGGTACAAAAATTGATCATGTCCTGTATAAAACACATTAAAACAGTATTTTTTTTTTTTAGGTTTTTTTTCTTTCAAAGAGTTATTTGATTATTATAAAATTTGTAAACATATTTTTTTATTTAAAGAAGTGCTTCTAAAAAAGAAACACAATTAAACGGACCTAAGAATTAAAAATAATTTTATATATATATCGAAAAGTATTTGTTTTTTTAAAAAGATTTAACCTTATATCATTTTAGATCCTAACCGTTGATTTCCGTCAATCAACGGTTAGAATTTATTGGGTCAAATTTATTAATTAATTAGTAATTCACAATAAAACCTAATTTTTTAGAGATGTGAGTCATTGGATACAAGTGGATCAATGGTCAAGATTGAGTGTAAGACTTCTAACTCTTACACCGGTGTAAGAATATCTTTCCTCATATATATATATATATATGAGGAAAGATATTCTTACACCGGTGTAAGAGTTAGAAGTCTTACACTCAATCTTGACCATTGATCCACTTGTATCCAATGACTCACATCTCTAAAAAATTTGAGCCCTTAGATAAAAATGAAATCAACGGATAAGATTAAGAATGTAACTTACACTGATGTAAAATAATCCTGACTCTATATATATATATATATATATATATATATATATATATATATATATATATATATATATATATATATATATATATATATATATACTGTATATTTAATTATTTATATAATTTTTACTGTCTCGTTATAATTAATCCCATCCTATATTTTACACATCTAAAGTCCATTTCACCAGATGCCTTAACAAGAAAAAATGATCAGAGCATGTGCTTCAGCTTCCCAAACGCTGCCCAAACAAGACGATACCTCATTGACTGCCTGAGAGACACTCTATTTGATTTAAAATACTCACCGACACATGATTGTATAAATAATCCTTCATGACTCTTTATAATAAGCAAACTTTCTATTAAAAAATAATTTCTGAAAAAGAGAAAAAGTTAGGGTGATCAATTAATTAAAAGAGTTTAAATTTAATCTGAGTTTTTACCAAAAAAATAATAATCTGAGTTTATACTATAATCCATTTGTGTTAGCAAATAATTAAAAGAGTTTAGTTTTCTAAATAGTTGTGACAGCCAAACTTTAATACAATTTGACAATATAAAATTTAGTAAATTATTATCATGTTTTAATTAGGCATATACTTTTATTAAATATTTTTTCACTTAATTTCATATTTGGTTCTTCTACTTGAAAAAAAAAAAGTGTCTTTTGTTAGTCAATCAATTGCTAATATAATGTAATAACTTCGAAAACAGTTACATATCTAACATAAAACTATACTATGCTGGCATTTTAATGAATATCATGACTTTTATATATTTAACCTTAATATATAGATAGGGTTTATTATTTCTCCTAGATAATATTATTTTTTAACCTTAAAATGATATTATTTTATAATTGATTGAAAAAATTTGTATAATAAAAATTAATATAATCTCAAAATAAAATAAAACCACACAAAAAATTCCTTAATCCCGTAACAATGTTATTTTGGAATAACAGGAGATAAATTATTTATTGTAATAAGAAAAACAACAATTCATATAAATATGTTAAATCTAAAATGACATGTTTAAATATAATAAAATAACATATTTAAATAGATTTAGCTCAACATTGAATCCATTAAATTGCTTTAATTAGTAAAGTGCATGTAATATATGTAGGCTTATCAAAGGGGGTTTTTAAAATTTTAATGTATCAATTTAGTATTTGATTCCCGATATTTACCAACAGGGGTCATTTAGTGTCGTGGAGGGTCTCAGCGGCACTGAGTGTCGCCCCCCTCCCCCACGGCACACACATGATTGTGCCAAGTGGCACAATCTCATTAATTATGTTATCGTAAAACTTCGAAAGGCCGTAACTTTTGATTTGGGTATCCAAATCAGATGATTTTTTTATTTTACATAACTTTTCGAGATTTTCTTTTTTTCTCCCACTTTTTCTTCGTTTTGTTTTCTTTACAAAAACAAATTTTAAAATTAATTATTATCTGCACAGGTGCTGCTGCAACTCTAAAAGATAGAAATTTAATTAATTAAAATCTCAATAAAATTGATTTGAAAATTGAGGAAGCTAAACAAATCAAGGGTTTCTACCTCTTCTCATCAAAATTTGAATTTAAATGATCTTGTGATTGTGAAACTATTTTTGCAAATTTGAACTATATTTATGGAAGATAAAATATGGCAAATGAGATGTCATTGCGTAGATCTCGAAAAGTTATATGAAATAAAAAAAATATTTAATTTGGATACCCAAGTCAAAAGTTATGGCATTCCAAAGTTTTACGGTAGCGGACTTACAAGATTGTCCCACTTAAGTGTCACGGGGGGAGGGGGCGACATTTAGTGCCATTGGGGGGCCCCACGACACTAATCGACCCCTAAAGAGGGGGGAAAACCTTTAGGTCGATGAGCCCATATATGTAAATTATAGATTATGCATGTCAATAATTGGACGACACATTGATGGAGTAATTTAATTTTCTCAATTAAAAAGATTAAAAGATTTGATTGATGTAAAACTGTAACATTTTTTAAAATGAAGAGTAAAAAAGAGAGAGAACCTCAATGAAAGCATCCAAAAGAGGGGAGAGTGGATCCTCTCATATAAAAAAATATATGACATTGTCATGTGGTAAATCATAACTATATAAAGGTAGATCAATGATGATAAAGGAAGAGAGATAAAAAAATATTAAAATATATAGTTACAAAATCATCACCATTGATTCATCTTTGGGTTTTATAAGAGTTATGTTGTAGGAAAAGTGATTATGTAATGTTATAGAGATTCGTTTTGCATGCCGTAGTTTTTTTTTTTGCTTCAAAAATGTGGGCCCACAAAATGTTGTGTGTGTATGAAACTTTCTTGTGTCATGTTAAATGATAAATGCAAACTCCTTCATCTTTATATGATTATGATTTTCTCACATTACCATATCATTTTTGTACATGAGATGATCCTTCTCCTCAAAGTGAGAAAGGGGCTTTTTTTAAAGTTTCCTCTTCAAGATAATCTTGAAACTTCCTTTTGGTCATTTTTTTCTTGTTATTTTTAATCTTTTATTTTCTCCTTTATTTTCGTTGGATTGTAATTGCTATTTTGCTTTTCTAGTATAAAATAGATTTGAGCATATTCTTTATACTCTTTAAACTAATTTTATCTCTTTAGAAAAATTCCATATATATGTATGGGATTAGTATTTCTCATATTGTAGGAGATAATTTTATTTCTTATACACACATAAAAGTGTGTGGCTCATATTTTTCTCTCTTCTTTTCACATAGCCCCACATTTTATATGTGTGTACGAGATATTTTCATCTCCTACAACATAAGAAACATTAATCCATATATATATATATATATATATATATATATATATATATATATATATATATATATATAGGTTATGGAAAAAATAAGTATCATGTTGTATGACAATCATCTTGTCATGCTATAGAGACAATAAGTGTGGGATCCACCATGTTTAAAATAAAAAGAAAAGGAAAAAAAATGCAACACAAATATCGATGTATGTGTAGGAAACTTTGCATTTGTCATGCAACATGACAAATGCAAAACCCATAGGTTATTCTTACAATCAATTTTTCCTTACAATAAATTTGTTTATTATTGGATCAAAATCAAATAAATAGTTATAAAATAACATCAAGTGAATATGTTATTATAATACTTGAAGGAGCATATTTTTACTTTTAACCCCATACCTGTAAAGAAGATTGAATAATGTTATTGAGAAACTTCATAACAGAGTATTTTGAGATTTGTCCTCATATTGAGTTGTGAAAGATCCATTTTCCTTTTTCTTTCATAAATCCACAATTGTTTTTTATCTCACAATATAAATGTAGTTTTACTAAATAAGGCTTAGCAAGTAAACTCCCAACAAGCATAGTGCAAGTTCAACTTTATGAGATAATAGTTTAAATATGAGTTTAATTTATTATTTCAAATCTCAAATTATACTTCTATTTCTTATTGCTTGGTTGGTCAAGATCTGCTCAGGGTAATTGTGTGAGCGAATATTATATTTGAGGATCAATCAATTCTTTGGAGAGCAAATCTACCAACAATGTGCAAGCGCACACATCTAGCAATATAGGGTCTCGTGAGCCCCAAATTATCGTCCTCAAGGAAAAATTGTAAAATTTGCACTAAAAGAAATATAAAATAGAAAAGAAAATAACTGAGAGCAAGCAGAAAGTAAAAAGCAAATTTTTATCAAGGAACCACTTCATTCTAAGACCAAGGTTAGCCAAAAAGTGTTTGTCACCAGTTTGATTAACCAATGTCAATGAATATGAAAGTACTAAGAACTGGGTTTATACCTTAATCTTAATGGAACTTTGCCTTGAAAGAAATTGGAGAATGTTGAAAGAGAGAGCAATGAACAGAAAGTAGAGAGAAAATCTAGAAGAACAATTGGAAATCAATAATATTAAGAATAGTAACAGAAGTTGGGAGCAAAACATAAATCATAGAGCAATGAGAAATGTTGCTTTTGAAAATTCTTTCGATCGTCAAAATAGTAACAAGAGAAAATAACACTGATTCAAGATTAAAAAGATGTAGGCTTAGGTTGATATTTTTACCCTCTTGGCCATTCTTAAAACTCCCTTTGCTCCTAAAAACGAGATCAGCTCCCA